ACCTATGAGAAGACAGGAGAGACCAACGAAGCTGAAATTGACTACAACCTTGAGGCAAGGTTGGTTTCAAGGGGAGGAGATGATAGAAGCACGATTTCTCAAGGAAATCATTGTTCTATCTATTTATCATTATTATTTATTAGAATATTTATTAAATATGGTTAGTAGTATTTTAGGTGAATTAGGTTTTTTGTTGGGTTTTCTAGTATTCCCTATAAATATGTAATTTGGGTTTACGTCATAATCAATAAGAAGAATATTAAAAAAATCCTTCCAAACCCTAATCTCCCTATCATCTCAATTCTCGTTCTCAATTCCTTTAAGGCCTAGGCTGATTCTTCTCTTCTTCTTTCCCAAATCTCAATCCCTAATTATGTTCATATAAACCCTAATCCCCAAATATCAAACCCAATAAGAACTTTGTTTCTATCATAGACATCCTGTACTAACACCTTAGCATCACACACTATGCTTCTACAAGCCAAATTACATGTTTCTAAAGAAGAGTGTATGAAGTCCACACTACAAGCCAAATTACATCATAGTATCATCTCAGCCTCTTCCGCGTTCACGACCACGGCTACGTCCACGACCTCCTCCTCTACCTCGTCCACGTCCATGTCTAAAAACCTAATGAAAATGGAGAACTGATAATCAAGGCCAAATATGAAGTTTAAAATAACTCAACAATATAATGAAATGTCTTTTACCACAACATTTTCATGTTGTCTAAGAGTTTCAGGGGATTTCCTCTTATTATGTCCCTAATGCCCACAATTCTTACAGTGGTTGGGTCTGTTCATCCTAACCAATTGCAACCCCACCGGCTCGATGTGGAGCCATCTCGACCTCCCCATCCCCTTTGTTCCTATGCTTTTTTGGTCGACCAGGCATTGACTTGAATTTTGGTGGGTAGGCAGGAAACCCAACAACATCTGGCCAAGCTTGTTGTCCATACAAAGCAATATGCCATCTTTGTAGGCATTCTTCGCAAATGTCACATGGTAGTCATTGTGCACATAGTTGACAGGATTGAACATCTTCCAACCAATGACAAAGGTGCATGTACACAAGGGATGCAAGTTAAACCTCACTGTGCACAAGTGCAGGCCATATCATTCAGATTAATAACTGTGGTGCCTCCTTCAAGTAGCTTCTCACGACTCCAAACCTAAAACCCTAGAAATTGGGGTAACACACTGACTCTAGATTCATTTATGCTATTTAAGGAGGAAGGTGCCTCAACCTCTTAGTCGTCATTGACGTCGAAGAATGAGGGAGTCTTTCGATCGATAAAATCTCCCTCACAAAAACTTGGTTGCGAAGTCTAGAAGAAGGTTTCGCTTCGTTCGGCACTCCGTCGTCGACGAATTGATGATGGCGCAAAGTCTATTCGTCGATTCCCCAGGTAGATCGGCGATGATTTTCTTCTCTTATAGTTAGGGTTCGAAGGTTTTCTCGAAGAAGAGAAGGGGGAGAAATGACTGGGGCTTGCTCGATTCACCCTCGATTTCGTACTTTATTCAAAAAAATTATGTTTTTTAAGTCTTGATTTTTTAATGCATTAGAGAGCAAATTATCTTTTAATGACACATCACCTCCCAACGTTTGACCGTCAAAATTAATGATAAAAGATAATGAAAACAGAACCCTAAGACTAGGGATGGCAATGGGTAGGGTCAGGTGCGGGTTTACTCTATACCAACTCCTAACCCGTCGGGTAGAGCCTCCTAAAATACCCGACCAAAAAACCACCGGGTATGAAAATGATATAACCATACCCTACCTATCGGGTAACCACGGGTATTCGGGTAACCATGGGTATGAATCCTAAAATACGAACTTATGCACATATATACTGTTGTTCGTTAAAAATTATCAATACTTGTAACTGTTCTAGCTTCAACAATCCACATAAATAAAAACAACAAACACATAATAGTTGTTCTTGCTTCTACAATCCGCACAAACAAAAACACAATACATCATTTTGTTCTAGCTTCAACAATCCACATAAACATAAACAGCAAAGACAATCAGTCTTTGTTCTTCTGCAAACATATTTTGTGAACGCAAAAGCATTAAGTCCCTGGGAATATTGCATCTTGTCTCTCCTCCATATGTCGAACATTAGTTCCCTTCTACAACAATATAAAAGAACAATCAACTTATAAAACAGAGGAAACACAACTTACAAAAACATTTAATTTGGAGTATAGAGATTACCAGTAACACACGAAACATTGTCTACATCTTCATCATCAATAATGGTAGCTAAACTCAATTTCTCAAGTGAACTCAGATCATCTACAAGAAAGAAGACACTCCACAAGTTAGCTAACAATTGCATATTTTATAAACAACATATATGAAAGATAGGAAAGACCTATAAGTATAACTGGGACATTAGCATTAAACAACCAGTTCTGTGCACACATCAAAGCTTCAACTGTATTCGGGAGAAGTCTGCTACGACAAGGGCTAACTAGCCTTACACCCGAGCTAAAAGCAGACTCAGAAGCCATTGTAGTGACCGGAATAGCAAGTATATCTCTAGCAATCAATGCCAAAATAGGATACTTCGAAGCATTTGCCTTCCACCACAACAATATATCAAACCCTGTTGTTTTAGGCAAAACCCTTTCTCTGAGATAACTATCTAACTCGGTTTCAACTTCTTCTTGACTAGCCTGCAATGAAGCCACATACCTATCGTACGCAGACATTTTTGCTCCACTTTGACTACTCAAGTTTACACTTTCGGTCACACTCACATTATTACCAACATTCACAGTTGAACGATTCTTATATTCCACATGTCACTAGTAATTGATATTCGACTCTCAGTGTCATCTATGAGTCTCTTCAACTCTTTCTTTTCATGGAGATATATCTTCAAGATGTCACTCTTGACAGTATTTCTCGAAGGGCATTTAAAGAGGGGCTGTAGTACATATACAAATTGCCGTAAACCAACATGCTCGACGATGCAAAGAGGATATTCATGCAAAATAATCATAGATGCCAAAGCCTTCCTCCCTTCATCATGACTATCAAATCTTTGAGAGCGAGCTTTACTAAGATCTCCATTTAAATTCTTAGTCAGGAGCATTTGTCTTATGTCTTTAATTTTTCTTTTGGGACACCTGATGACATGTTCTTTCAAATGACTTGTCCCATTATTTGTAGAAGCATTGAGAGATTTTGAACATAGATTGGACACAACTTTTATATCACCATTCGCCTTCAAGATTCGTTTAAAATGTTTCCAAACTTCACTCTTTAGTTTGCTTGTATCAAGTACCTCATCATTACCAGTAGTAGGAGGAGCATCAGTTGCAAGTGGTGGTGGTGGAATCTCCAACCATAGTAGCAGGAGTACCACTAGAATTAGGAGTCTCTGAGCAAGCATTTGTTGACGAATTACTCTCAACGTCTGCGACTATGGGAGGATTTCCACAAGGAGATTCATTTGACAAACTCATTGTTCCACCTACAAAACAGGATGCATCGATCAGGGGAAACACACAGCCACATTGACAATATGAATCTAATTTGAACCCTAGGTAACACATATAATTCCCTATGTAAACATAAAATTCCAACGAGTCACAGAACAAAAACATATAATTCCACCTACACAGCAGAAATGGGAAGGCTATAATTCCACCTATCTTCAAATTTCTTTATGGGGTTCTGTTTGGTTCACTCGGGAATCTAATTGTCTTTCTTCATTCATTTGATTATTACATGGGTTGTCTTTCTTTCCCTCGTTTGTTTGGTAAAGTTTGGAGCTTTTTATGTGTTTCCAAGAGAAAGGGTCGAGTGAGATTGTGATTAAAGCAATGGGCAGAGCTATCAATAAGACTGTGATGATCGCTGTGATAATCAAGGTCACTACAAAATTACCTTTCGGAGCCGCGGTTGGGGAGTCCTAGCGAGCCGCCGTGCTGCACTGGAATGAGATGTTGGCTGGAATTGGGGAGTCCTTGCGAGCCACACTTGAATGGGCGAGAGCAGGTCATGCGATGCTTGCTGGAACGGGGGAGGTCTGGCGAGCCGCGTTGGAATAGGGGAGAGTAGGTTTGATGCTTGCTGGAACGGGGGAGATCTGACGAGCCGCGCGTGACGGAGAGGGTAGCAGGGAACGGCGCACGAACCGGGAAGGAAGCAGGGGAGAGACGGACGACGCGTCCACGCTGTTCGGACTGGCGGCCGAAGAGGTTCCTTGAAAAACGGTGGGGGAGGCGGTCGGATTGTGTCTGTGGAGTGTGGGTGTGGCCGTGTGTGTTGGCTGGCTGGGGGGCGGCGGGGGAGAGCTTAGGAATAGGGTTTCTGATTTTAGGTTAGAGACAAAAGTTGGGGAAATGGGAGAAGTGGCCAGATTGTCTTCTGGTTGGGTAGTGGCCAGTGGGTGCTGGACTGGTGGGTTGCTAGTGGGTAGGAAAAATCAACCTTTAATTAGCGGGGCGGGTATAACCGGGCGGGTATTATTGATTACCATACCCGTACCCTACCCTTTATTTTGAAACCGGGTATTACCCGTACCCGCCCCTTAACCCGTCAAAGCGGGTAATTACCCTCGTTGACCGGTTACGGTAGGGTACCCATAGTTACGGGTTGAATTGACATCCCTATCTAAGACATAGAGGTACAAGTTACCGAAACTTTAAACTACGCACCTTTTCAGCTATTAAGCCAAAACTAAACGGTGGATAAGAAATTAAGAATCATAAGATAAAATATACGGCCTACAAAGCATATGATTGCCGGAGAATTGAGTTCTATACCGTATTTGTTATTATTATTATTATTATTTTTTTTTTTTATGATTTTCGCTTTTTGGGGACCAACTAATTGGAAGGTAAAGCAAAGGAAGAGGAGGGAGAGGCGAAGAAAGGAACCGAGCATCTCTCCGAGAACTCTGAAATTGTGTAATAAGCTTCACAGTTACTGAGCTTGTGGAGGAAGAAGAGGAGGAGACAAAAGGGGTGTGCAATATGGCCGGTTACAGACCTGAAGATGACTACGATTACTTGTTCAAGTTGGTCCTGATTGGTGATTCTGGAGTTGGCAAATCCAACTTGCTTTCCAGGTTCACTAAGAACGAATTCAATCTCGAGTCCAAGTCCACTATTGGGGTCGAGTTCGCAACCAAAAGCTTGAGTATCGATGGCAAGGTCATCAAAGCTCAGATTTGGGACACCGCTGGCCAAGAAAGGTCTGTTTTCTATGTTTGCTTTTCACTCGTTTCCCCCCCTCTTCTGTGAATACTCTTTCTGCTGGTCTTCTCCTTCGATTCTGCTGCTGCTGCTAGCTTCTGGATTCATTAGATGAAGTTTCATAGTGGTTGGTGTTTGTTCTCTCTTGTCGACGACTTGTGTTCAACTGGGTGCGAATCTGGTATGCGCAGCCGGTGATCGTTTTAGTTGCCCATTATGATCTGGCTTGCAATTTGAATTGATCTGCTTCCATACTGGTTTCTCATCTGCAAGTTTCTCCAGTTTCTTGTATCTGACACCTTCCCTCTGCTAAATCGGGAGTATATGCCTCTCTTGATCCGGGAGGATTATGCTTAGGCCTTATCACATGTTGTTGAGATGTAACTTGCTCTCATTTTTAGCATGCTTTTATATAATTAGTGGATTTAAAAATGGGGTGGATGATCTTAATTGGCAAACATGCCGTCTTTTTTGTCCCTCGTGTCTGTGTTAGTTTCCTTTTTGCTGGGTGATATTATTGAAATTGGAACAATGCCTTTTGATCTACGTTGAAAAGAAGCTCCCTGGTACGGGAGCAGCATAAGGGAATGCTCTTGGGTGCTTTGTATGTCATTTTTTAGTTGATTTCTCTTACAAAAAAGGTGCTTCTATTAAGTACTTCTGAAACTTATAGCTAGAAACCTACCAGAGTGATCCGGAATTCTTAAGGAAATTGATTGTGCACTACACCAATCAACTTCTGTGAACTGACTAGTCTGAAGACGAAGAGCTGAATTAGCACTTGTAACCTTGTTTCCGTGTGCCATGCTTCTAATCTTTCTCGTGGATCTCCTTTTGTTCTTTAATTTCTCTCACATTCTGGGTGGTATTTAATTTTCTGGCTTCCGTCATTGATTTGAATCACTTGGTTTTCCAATATTCGTTGACATATTTTCTCTATAAATAGTTGTCACTATTCTTTATCTCTATCGATCATTGTGGTCAACAGTGAAACAGAGCGATGCAAGCTCTGCGGTCTGTGCCTATTAATAATTGAGTTCATCAATGAAACTGAACATCACAAGAAATTTGAGGAGCATGCTCTAGGTTATTAATATATATTTCCATGTTAAACTTGCTTTGTACTCTGAGCTAATATCAAGGAATTAAGAAGAAAAAGGATCTGAAAGCTACCCAATTATGAAATAGCATGAACTGTGTACAAGTGCTTGGGGATTATGGTCCATGGAAAACCCAAATGGGAAGTTGGTACGGTTTCTAGTTTCTTGGAAAACAAAACTGAAGTACAAGTCTTGCTACTGAATTCCAAGAACATCGTCATGCAATCTGTCTAATATGACTTATCAGCAATATAGCCAGTTGACCAGCTAAAATGGTTGTGTGGAATCAGCTGTTGTAAATCATGAAGGGGCCAGGTTTTAGTAACAATTGAGACACTTCAAGTCAGACTTGATGTTCTCATGGTTTGTGTAGTAACCTGTATAACTTTGCCCAACTAAGGTTGTGATTCTTATGAGTTCCTGTAAAAATTGAACTGACTTTTGTTTATCGCTTAAAGCTGCTTTATTTACATGTTTCAGATTCAATTAAGCATATCTTAGGGGTTGATTGTGAAGTCGTCTTCGAATCAGAGGGTGACTGTTCTTTCTTTTTCCGCATATGGAATCTTATCGAAACTTAGACCACAGAAGTTGATAGTTTGATGAAGATGTGAAGGCTCTGATTAGAGCATGCTTCCTCTTGTAAGATAATTGGCTTCAGTTTTCAAACGTCCTTCTTTTGTATGATGGGGCCAGAGGAAGTTGGGAGTGGGTCGCCTGCTCTTGAAGGGGGAGATGTGGAGTGTTGGTCAAGCTGTCTAGTTACACATTTCAGATACTTCTTCATGGTCGAAAAGGATGGCAGAAGAGATGGGTTTGATCAACTTGAAAATGAAAAACTCAAGAAAGTCTTATGAACTGTGCTTGGTATTAAGTCTTATCCAGTATTTCAGCGGACTGTATCCATCTGCTTTCCTTTCTTTTTCACGCAACTAATAGTTCATTGTGGTGCTCCATGGAAGTAATGATTTGTCAAAGTCAATGTGGCAACAATCACTTCTGATGCAATCTCATGGTCACAAATTTACTTGTGGTCTTTTTCCCATACTTTCGGAGCGTTGTGTTGAATTTTGTCAATAGTACTCCTAATCGCATAAATAGTGGAGAATTGATGGAATCAATGCTTTTAGAGCTTATGCTTAATGTTTTTATTTTGTTTTAGCTGCTGCAAAACAATCCCATCAAGTCGCAACATAAGAGTTCTTTTTTTTTCTTCTTGATTTTCAGGTACCGAGCCATCACTAGTGCTTACTACCGAGGAGCTGTTGGTGCGTTGCTTGTCTATGATGTGACTCGACACTCTACCTTTGAGAACGTGGCAAGGTGGCTGAAGGAGTTGAGGGATCATACGGACCCCAATATCGTGGTCATGCTGATTGGGAATAAATCGGACCTCAGGCACCTGGTAGCTGTCCAAACCGAGGATGCCAAAGCATTTTCGGAGAGGGAGTCCCTCTATTTCATGGAGACATCAGCTCTCACTGCAACAAATGTGGAGGGTGCATTCACTGAAGTCCTGAGCCAGATATACAAGATTGTGAGTAAGCGGGCTGTTGAGGGAAGTTCTGATGGAAGTACCTCTGTTTCTCTTAAGGGAGAGACCATAGATGTCAAGCAGGAATTGTCTGTTCTCAAGAGAATGGGGTGCTGCTCAAGTTAATTTGGGTTTATGGTGGGTAATTCTTTTAGCTGGGAAATTGGGTTGTAGCTAAGAAGATGCACATAAGGCTCCTGTTTAGAACGGAATCGGGTGGGAACAAGGAAAATACTGGATTTGGATTCCTGAGTTTGGCGGAACAAAGGAGAAATCGTTTCTACTAGAACATGGGGAAGCACTCGGTTTAAGTCGCCTTTGTTTGGGGGTAATTTGTATGGCTGTGTTTCTTGTATTATATGCTGCAACTGAACAAGAATTGCAGATGACGTACCATAGTCATGTATTCTTATTACTTGTTACACTATTTACTTCTTTTCATATGTGACAGGTAGCGCCTTGGAATGATTTATCTCTTATTATAATTACAATTAGGGATTGTAGGCGGCCACTTTCTTACTTTTTTTCCGGTCTTTTCATATAAATATGCACGTAAGTGGCTCGCCACTAACTACTCAATCCCAATCATAGGCCAAGTATAACCTATGATCAGGTGAGTATAGAGCAAGTTATTCAATTATCAAATTCAGGCGATCTATATATCCTTACTTCAACAATCTACAAATTATCTAGCACTCAAAATGTTATTTATAACTAATTAACTAAGCAAGCAATTAAAATTATATTTAATTCAAGTGAGAAGACTTTACTCGGATGATTATCCCCCCTAGTCCCGTGTTGAGATGAGAATGTGATACTCTAGTACAATAGGCAAGTTCATATACCGTTAAGAGATATAAAATAGCTAGGACCCCCTATTTGAATGCATCCTAGCCTGATACTCTAGTACAATAGGCAAGTTCAATTCTCCTTTGCTCATAGCTTTCTCTAAATTATAGATGATATTACTCAATTTCAACAAAATGAAAGAGAGACTTTCTATGATGCTCGGAGGAGATTTCAGGAGTACATCAAGGTATGCCCCCATCATTGATTTACACTAGAGCAGATTGCAAAGTACTTCTCGAAAGGTCCAGATCGAGACACCAAGCTTACGGTAAACCAGTCGGCCAATTGAGATTTCACAACAATGATGAGAGTGCAATGCCAAGAACATTTTGCCACACTAGCAAGAAAGTCAAAGAACTAATCCAAGCGTCCATCAATGATAAAACCATTCACAGTTGTCTAAGGAAGGGAGGATGAAGTCACCACCCTCTGTGCACACATGAATGAGTTGACCCATCAACTCAAGAAAGCTTCAATGGAGCCAAAGAATGGATCGGTGGCATCCTTGTTCATTTGTGAAGCTTGAGGAGAAGAAGGCCATGAAGGTTTCAACTACAATAGCCAATGAGGGCAAGAACTTGCTAATGTCAACTATACAAACCAAGGATATCAATCGATACCTCAACAAGAGAGCTATCCTCTTTATCAAATATTCAACCAACCGCACATACCATTTGGTCAATGGCTTGCCCCAGGAGGAAAGAAGCTTGAAGACTACCCCAACATCACATCTACCGATACACCTTATGAAAGCGAAATGGCAAAAGAAACCAAGTCCGCTTTGATTTCGAAGTTAACCTCAATATAAGGCGCAAGGAGAAGTTGCCTCCAACCAACAACCCACTAGATTCGATAAGCAGAAGGCAATAGTGATAGAACTGCAAACGAGCTACAAGAACCTCAAAAGTCACAAGACAACGACAAGTTGATTTTTTTTAAGTCCGTTAGTGAAATAGAAGGGAAAATGGAAGGACACATTATTGACTTACATGGTATCCCGTACCCTAAATTGACTTTAGTGATACTCTTCTCCCAGTTCTCAAAGTTTAATGGTATGTGGTTACTTTCCATCTATGGTGTAAACTCCGTTAAAGCTTTGAATGAAAATTGGCTATACAACATCGATAGCTGTCTATATAGGTGTATTTTACCTTAAATATATCACGCTTAAGATTTTGGATATACATGATTTTGGGAATAGCTTACCTTCTCTTTTCAGCAATCCACGTACATTTCGAAACTATATCTATGATAAAAGTTGTATTCCTTAAAAATTTATGCGAAAAAAAAAATTCATGTCGTTTGGATTTTGGAGCACAAAGTTATGGTTTTCCAAAGTTTGACGAAATCGAAAAAAACCTCGTTCGGGGTAGCAAACGACATTTTTTGGGACAAAGGCGGGACCAAACCACCTTCGGCAGTCTTCGGCTTGCAAGATCTCAAAAGGTTATGCGGAATAAAAAAAATCGCGACGATCGGATACCCGAACAGAAAGATACGTTCGTTTGAAGTTTCCACCTAGGTTAAGATGTTTAAAAAAAAAAAAACAGACCGCATGGTGGGGGTGCGGTTTGCAAAACCACCCCCTACCGGTGCGGTTTTCATCGAAAAACGTGCCCCCGAATGGCGGTTTTCGCCTAAACCACTGGTACGAGTGGCGGTTTTTGGGAAAGGGTGCCATTTTTGGAATTTTTTGGAGTTTGGTGCTATTTTTATAAAAACAATTTTAAGCAGTGCTATTTCTAGAAAAATCCCACCCAATTCCACCCAACTCTCCATCTTCTTCCCTTAACCCTTCTCTGGTAATCTCAACCGAAAAAACCAATTGCCTCCCCCAACCATTAATTGAAACCCACCTCTTTCCATCATTCAGACCATCATTCCCTAGAAGTAGAAGAACTACTTCAAACCCCAAATCTCATCCCTATCCCAGATCCAAAACCCGCCGGCAGTCAAAAGCGGACGTACACTCTCCGTCGGGTCAGATCCCATACCCAGAAACACTCCACCGCGGCAGGGGTCAGCCGGCAGCAGTCGCTCGTTCCAGTGCCCGTCCCACACCAGGCGTCGCTTTGATTTCAGATCCAGAAACTGAAGCCCAAAGTCGCTGGCCGTCGAGAAAGCTAGAGACGACAAGGACGGCGACGACAAAATCACACAATTAAAGCTCAGAATCCTCATGTGTTCTCTGGTCGGGAATATTGTGGACGAAGGAGAAGGAAAGGAGTTGTCCTTTCATTCCGTTGTTTGTGTGCACAGGGAGAAAGCCTTGCGATTGGAGGAGAAGGAGAAGAAATAAAGGGAGCAGCTTAGCAAAACAACAGAGGAGGCAAAGGATTACAAGGTAGAGTTCCATAAGAAGAGTGAGGTCAATTGTAAGAGTCATAAAACAATCAAAAGGGAAAGAATAGATGGCGGAGTTTAGGGATTAGTAGAGAAGGGTCGAGGGAAGAAGATGGAGAGCTGGGTCAAGTTGGGTTGGACAGGCTGATATGGCGGGTTGGGTTTACTATTTTCCGGATTAAACCAGGTTGAGTAGGCAATTGCGACTAACGGAGAGTGACCAAACACGGATCGTTTTACTTATTTGAGTGACCAACATTGGAATTAAACATTTTCAATGACTAAACATAAACCTTTTTAGTAAACCTAGTGATCCAACATGCAATTAACCCCTACATAATATGATACAAACATTAAAAAAATACAAACATTAAAAAAAATTGGTGAGAGATACAAACGTAAAATTACTAGCGTGGGCCCCGGCCATTTGGATATGAAATTTGATAATGAATGGGGGTGTATAGTTTATTGTTGTATAGTTTTTTTTTTAAACACATGATAAAAATAGTGAATTTTAGCAGGAAAGAGACATGAATGATGTAACAAATCAAAAATCAGCCTTATGAACCAAAATCAAGTACCTATTACCTTGTGAAACAATATTGTTTCTGGTAATATGATGAGGTGGAGTAAGTTTTATAGAAACCGAATTCCAAAAAATCGAATAAAAAATCGCTTATCCCGCCGGTTTTCGGGAAATGAGCATCTCACAATCGTTGCTAACTTTTACTCGGCCCATTGGCCGATTAATTTGCTTTATAAAACTTTCATCTTGTCATCATTGTGCTTTCTGGTTTTTTGCCAAGCCATATAAAATCTAAAGAAATCAAGAATGAACAACACGATTTGGGATAGGAACCATCGTTCCTGTATCCCTAGAAAATAGTGGTAAACACGGACTCACCTGCCAAACTGGTTTGGATTGAGATTTTTATCGCGTATCAGGGAACCATGTGATTTTAATTAGACTTGATCAAAACGGGCAAAACTTGAAATTCAGCTTGTTTGACCGACTCATGCCAAACTCTAATTATTCTTTACTTTTAAACTTTCTATTTGAAAATAAAAAATAATGAAAGAAAAGAGATGACTGCAATTCGCTATTTGCACATCACTGATTCGGAAATGAAACTATAGAATTTCGAAAAGGAAACCGAAAATGTTTAGGATCGTTTAAATTTTAAAAATAACCAAATAGATCTTTCTGATTAGTTTTTTACTAACAAATACCAAACGATTCCATATAATATACACTATAATTTAATCATTATGATATCAAATAATTACATAATATATATTTGAAATGATAAAAATTGGACTAATTGGGTTGGTCGAGGTTGAACCATTGAATAACTTTAAAGATACATTATATTTTAGCCACTAAGATATAAAATAATAGCATAATATATATTATACTAGTGAAAATAACTTGTTTTAGAATGACAAACCCATGATGTTCATTTGTTTTACTTGATAGGCAAATCCCGTGTAGGTCAGGCCCATTCAACTATTTTATTTTATGATTAGCGGTTAGCCCATTAGAATTCATGTATTAGTTTATTGTTAAATTTTTTCTTTTTAGCAATAAAAAGGAATATTGTTTTTGCCTTTTCATATATATTTTACCACCACGGAGAAATAAAAGGACTTAAAGAAAAAAATTGACACTCTTGGACCCGTTTAAATCAGCATGTGTACGGTAAGTTGGCCCGTTCCACAGAGGAAAAAGAAAAAAATTGACACTCCCCATTCTACCTTTCCTACAAACGCTACTGGAGCAGGGAATTTGAAATGGGGGAAGGATTTTTTCTCTGCGATTATATGTTTTTAATTTAAAAAGATACAACAAATATACTTAGTGTGATTGATTATGATTTTTGTTTTTCTTTAAAGTGGTCATGGTTCGAATCCTAGTGTCTTTTTAATGAATAAAAAAAATTAATTGTGAAGACCAAAATGTCATTCCTACTTTCATTCTGGATGCAGGAAATTTGAAATGGGGCTTCAAGTTTTCTCATTTGGCTTTTATTTATTGTATAGATTTACTGAAAAAAAAACTAATATTTTTTTCCATAATGACGTATTCTCATGAATCAAGCATGACATACAAAATTAAAATATCAAACATAAGTCAAAATTTTACTAAACGAGTCTACCTCGAATTCGACTCGCCTTGTTAATAAACGAGCTAAGCACGAACTTCACTCGTTAATCAACGAGACGAGGTCGAGTTAGGCAAAACTTGCATCAACTAGGCTCATCTGTAGCCGCAGGAACAAATTTGCAGCATAAAGAGAGAACACAATGACCAAAGAAGCGATCTTCCACTCCTGTATATTAGAATCAAAACAGTACTACGTCCATCAAAAGTTAAAAACCAAAAGGAAGAACAAAAAAAAAAAAAAAAAAAAACCTTCCTGGAAAGCTCTCCACCAGAGACCAAAATCCTCTCCTGGCTCCTGCACATAAAACCACCCTTTCCTCTCCCTTTAATGCACACCAGCCTGAACATGAACAGCATAACGGCACCCAGACTACAAAATGCACTTGCGGAAAAACTTTCCGATTATGGGGTGGCCAATTTCCATGGAAAGCACACATTTTCCAGTCTTTTCTCTTTCTTACCTTATCGTATGGTCAGGTATATAAGTTATTCTAAAGCTTGCAAGTTGCAATATCGAATGAGAAACCTGAGTCTCCTCTTTCCTTTTAGCTTTTGCTGGTGTACAGTCAGTTATCCTCCTGCCCGTTTTTTTTTTTTTTTCAGATACTACCAGCTGCTGACTCCTCCCCTGCCTTGCTTTCCAATTCTGCCGATTCCTTCATTGATTCAATTTCCATGCTTGCAGTTCGGCTCTTGCGGTTTCTCCGGTCCTGAAGAATCCAACACCCACAAATATATCATGCATATCCCCCCACCAATGTGGATCAAATTATACCAAATTCCAAAGTGCACAAGTAATTAGGGCCGCTTAGTAGGCCGGTTAGTCTGTGAAAGCAAACTTAGACTCCAAGTAGGAACAACAACTTCATTTACCATTTCAACCACTTCTAACTCTTAAACGCAGTTTAGGTGTAGCAGTTCAGATTAGAGAGGCTCATCCTAGCATTCCATCAACGAAAAAGTGCATTTTCTGATTGAAAATCACAAACAAGGACTAAACATTTAACGAAACTAATGTGTTATACATTCATGGGTGGTGTTGTTCAAAGGTCAGAAGAAACAAGCTAGAAACCTGCTGCAGCAAAGAGAGGAAAGATTCTGTAAGCATATACCTCACGGAAAGGGTACTCCTCAGCTTCAAGCATCCGCACTACCTGACTCATTTTCGGTCTCTTTTCTGAATCAGGATCAACACAGCGAAGTGCAACCAAGAGAGCACGTTTTAGAGCACGGGTTACAGGTTTGACTTCAAGATTTGGATCCACAACTTCGTCAGCTCTTCTTGTCCCTACCATCATCTTAAGCCACTCCACAAGGTTGACCTGAAACCATAAACAACGCCACCTAGAAAGGTCAAGTCATTTGAGAAAAAAAGAGCAGCTCTTACTTTCTTTCGAGATACAGAAGACAATCGTATAGTTGAAAGGAGCAGGGATACCTCATTAGCAGGCCTTCCATAATCCACAGGATCTCTCCCTGTGACTGCTTCTAGCACCAGTACCCCATAGCTATAAATGTCGCTCTTCTCATTCAACAAGCCAGTATTTGCATATTCTGGTGCAACATATCTGAATTCCACAAGGAAAAAGGAAAACCTGAGCCAGGTTAATTTCATACTCTTGTTTGCGCCGAAAAGAAAAAAGAGAAATAAATTGCATACCCAAATGTACCCATAACTCTTGTTGTGATGTGGCTTTCTCCCGCACCCAAGAGCTTTGCCAACCCAAAATCAGAAACCTTGGAATTAAACTCATCATCAATCAAGATATTGCTTGATTTTATGTCACGGTGTACAACTTTAGGTTCTATGGCCTCGTGCAAATAAGCAAGGCTGCAAATGAGGCAAGGCAATTCCTACATCAGAATCAACAAACAAAGGCATGGGATAAGGATATTTAGAGATGCTTACGCCTTAGCAGTCCCAAGAAGAACTTTCATTCTAGCCTCCCAAGTGAGGATACCACGATGGCGCATCGCCCCATGAAGCCACTGTTCTAAGTTGCCATTGTTCATATATTCATACACGAGAATCCTATATAACAGGAGAAAGAATTAGTTCCGAAACTGTTAAACATGCAGATAACCTAATCTGTACTTACCCCACATTCCAAGACGTTATATACTCATTTCCCTTATAAGCATGTTCACAAAGGAACTAAAGGAAACTATGAAGCCAGATAATACCACATACCTGTGAACCCCTTCAATACAATATCCAAGAAGACGGACAAGATTCTTATGACGCACATGACCAATGGCCTCCACTTCAACTCTGAATTCCTTTTCTGCCTGTCCCCTATAGTATTGTGCAAAGAATTGCAAAGGGTTAAAGATAGTACACTATCATTTATTATACCAATTATTAAAAAGTCACACATGGCTTGTTTTTTAAAGATTGCTTACAGATTGTTGAGAATTTTCTTGACAGCAACCTCGGTTCCATTAATCAGTCTTCCCTTGTAAACAACCCCATAACCACCCTCGCCGAGCACATTCTCAGCTGCAAAACGATTTGTCGCAAACTCAAGATCCCTAAGAGTAAACCAATGACCCCACCCAAGATGTGAGAATTCCGGTAAGCCAACCAGGGGAGAGGCTGTCACAAGTCCTGGATATGAAGATTGCTTCCTCATGGTCCCAGAGCTTCCTTCTTCCCCAGATTGAGAGCTAAATCCTTTCTCGTGATGAAATACCGAGCTGCATTGACTGATGTTATCAGGATCACTTGATTTGCTCATCCCCAAGTGATTAATCATCTTCTCTGAATTCTTATCGCTTGATTTATCATTGATAGTGAGGAATAGACTATCAGGCTGATCACTATAACTCTTATTAGCCCCAACCCTGTCAACCCTAATATCTTTTGAAACATTTGGTATCTGAGAGAGGGAGTCCATTGATCTTCTAGATCTCCTACGAAAAGCCCATACTGACAGGACGCAAAGAATCAAAACTATGGATGCACCTACAGATATCCCTATCAACGCATAGAGTTTCAAACCCAAAATTGATGTCTTCTTGGTTAACTCAGCATTCAAACTCTCAGACGACATTGCTGATTCTTCTGCGCTACCCGGTCCCAGTTCAGACAACAAAAGGATTAGAACATTCCCACCTGAATATCAGTAAACATGAAATACAAGGGAAGCACAATTTGAGTGTTTTGATCGAGGGAAACCAGGAATGAAAACCAATGGACAACATATATAAAAATAAATATAACAGAAGTTGAACAATACATGTATTTGTGATTCTGAGAGGCAAATATGAACTCATGAACAGGGAAGCAAACTGAGTCATTCAACATTAAAAGGGAGAACGCAGGACCTAACTTACACTTAGAAGGAATCAAACCAGAAAGAAGGAAGAGGAGATAAGAGCAGCAAAACGCATGCCAGATTCAGAGTAACATTAATTGCATTATCATTCGCTGTTCCATACAATGCTTCGCAAAGATTGCCATTAATCCTTGGAAGAGGCGTAAAAGGGAGGACAAATCGACAACTTAAATCTTATGGAACTCTTCAACATCCAAAACCGGAAAATCATACCAAACTTCAACGAGAAGACAATGCTCAGTAAGTCACAGTTCAAAACAAGTGAAAAAGGAAGAAAAGAACAAAAGCTCACAACAAGCATCACTTACGATCCAAGTAAGAGGCAGATGAAAAAGAAACTTGAGTCGCTCAAAAAGAAGAGTAAAAGAAAGATAGGAAGGAAGGAAGATGGGAAAGAGCATATCTTTACCTTGTGTGAAGAAATCCAAAAGGTAGGGATGTAGCTAGCCCCCTTGATCCTCTTCCTTGAGCAGCCAGAGGAGGAAAGAAAGGGCTTCTCCTCTATGAAGCAAATGAGGCTCTATAAGCATAGATTGGGCAATGTAGACCTGAAGACCAGCACAAACCCACCAAAACCCAGAAATCCCTTTTGTAAACAGAAACCCACCACCGTAGTTTCAGAGAAAGAGGAGTCGTTTGGAAGGCAACCCAAAATGTGGGCCAAAAGGATACAAATAAGGAGTGGAGAAAAATTGGAAGATGCAAGAGAATAAAAGATTGGGGAACAGGGGAAGTTAGTTGGTGGGTAGGGGGAGAGAAAGAGAGACGGAGCTCTCAGGGGAGAAAGGGGGGGAAAAAAGAAGATGGAAAGTGAAGGAAGCTTGGTTTGCAATGGAGGAAACCACAGGTCACACAGAAAGAGAGAGGGAAGAGAGATGTGAATGGAAGGAGAACGAAGCAAGAAAAGGTTGCAGCGAAGAGAGAGAAACAGTAAAGTGAAAGCAAAATTGAAAAGGAAAGCGGGCTTGGCATTAATTAATTAACACTTGGTAAAGTTGTGGAAGTGAACCAAAACGAACTCCGCATACCGAAGAAGAAAAATGGGAGAAATCGGAAATTTGACAGTTCACAGTAGCAAAGAGAGAGAGAGAGAGAGAGAGAGAGAGAGAGTCAAAACAAAACTCTCAAAAACCCAGCTGGAGGAGGGAACTCCAAATCCAGCAAATTCCCATCCCCTTGAGCGTGACCACCACCACCACCGTGAGTCCATGAACCATGACAGCCATGAGCCTGCTCTTTTCTTCAATCTGTTTTTTTTTTTTTTAACTCTTCTTCATTTCGTTCTGGTTTCTGAGTTCTGACAACATAAGAGGATGTCTGGATGAGGGTGTAATGCGATTTTGAGAAAATCTAGGGTAAAAAAAGTGACGGAATGGGACATGCTAGATTCTTTATGGATATATGTAGATGTTAGGGTTTAGTTGAATTGATAAAAATAACTAATTTTTCTTTATAAAAAAATTAAGAGATTTCATTAGCATTAGATGGAAGATAATATTCAAAATTTAGATGCAGTAAGTTGTTGTCTCTTTTGGAATCCAATTGACACACTTGTTTTTCGCTCTTAGAATAAATACAAGTTTGATGGAGCCGAAGTATGACGCATACAATGGATTCACACGAAATGTGCGAAGACCAAGAAGAGATAGGAGATTCAAGGGCCTAGCATTGACGGCTTTCCACTCCATCTCGAGTTAGATTGCCTTAAAAGAGTCACTTAGAACACTCACAATGTGGAGGGAAAAGAGGGTGGGGAAGAGTTTGGTCACAATGGGAGGGGAGGGAAAGGAGGGTGTTTATTTGGTATGTTTTTTTTAATCAATTTATAGCTGATCTTGTAACTTTAATTTGATAATTTAGTCATTATTTTTACCTAAGTAGTAATATTTCAGACAAACATTTCAACATCACTAATTATGATGTCACCAATACGAAATCATAATAATTTGCACAAAAAAGTTGTTGCATTAATAATTGAACATAAACACAATAAAAAGAGAGAAAAAGATAAACACTAAACCCTAAAAACAAACAAACACTAAACCGTAAAAGTAATAATAAAAAAGGAAAAGAAAAAAACACATCGAGACGCGCTCCCACCCCGTCCCTTCCTCCTCTTTTTATCTTCTTCAAGAGGGTCTTCCCTCCATTTTCCCCTTCTTTTCCCCCCTTCTTTCCCTCCCACATTGTGGGTAGTCTTAGGTGGACTTCTTAGATTTTGCCATAGAGGAGGTGATACCCCACTTGCTCTCTCCGTCTTCGTTTGTTCGTGCAAGCCAATCATCCAAGGAACTGGCCGAGTTGCATGGATCTTGACAAAACGCGTAACTACATTGTCTCATTTAAAAGTGGACTGTGATTTAGGAAGATTGTTTTTCATGTTATATACCATGTTTTTGTGAATGTTCATGCATTTGGGGAAAGGGTTTTGTGTTTGCATTTGTGCACTCACATTTGAATTTTTTTAGTAATGCCACATCCCCCAAGCAAATTCGAAGTTTATTATACTTTGAATTGCTAGCTCTATGTTGATATGTGACCTAAGGAAGGCTACTATAGGGCCTATGAAGGATGTCCTTTTCATGAGACTTGGATCCATCTTAAGAAAAGTGTATGGATTGGTGCTTCCTACCATCATTTTTGAGTACTCAAACTTCTCCTCATAGGAAGGAGTCTTATGTGCTTACATCAAATCAGATCGATATGTAGGTTTTGGAAGAGATACTAGTTGAGTCTTGGTGGGGTAGGTCTACGAGATGATGCTAGTTCCTCTCTAGTACAAGTAAAATTTTCACCCATATAATAGGATTAATGTCATCTTTAGGATGTGTTTTCAAGAGCACGGATAAAGCTTCCGACACCCCTTGACTTTATTGACCCTCCTCACGATCGAGGAAAAATAGTTAAAAACTGCTCGTGCTTGATCAATGGTTGCTAAGTGTCGCAACCGTCCCTCCGGGGTCGGGGTTGTGTTCGCTTTTTGGGAGTCGCCATCGATCTTACTTGGAGTGGATCGAACACTCTTCGGTTTGCTCTAACCTTAGGGTCAAAACCGAGACATGGTCTGCGAAAATAAAGTTCTGGGTTTGGGAGTACGGTTACGTGTGAGGAAGTGAAATCACACCCCACAACGCCCAAAATCGATACTACTTAAGTTTGATAAGTTTAAATGTGTTGGGTGTGCTTTTAGTAATAATTTCATATTTTCAAGGTCCCACAGGACCATTAAATAATTTTATCGTATTAGTTGTAATTCAATTATACGTCCACTGACATACAATTGAAAGATAAAGTTAATTGGTTAGTTGGACTCAAACCTTATCGGTTGCCTACGTACCCGTGACGCGAGATCAAAGTCCACGTCGTTCGTCAGAACTTTGATAATTTAATTGTAACCACGTTCCACTGATCGTGATTCTCGTATTAAGGATTTTGTTAACTTTGATAGTTTTAATCATAACTTTATCACGTTCCACTGAACGTAATTCTCGCATTATAATTTTATTAATAAAATTTCAATTAGATTATTATGATGTTACTAAAATAAAGGGCTAATACCACTACAACACCCGAACTATGACGAAAATGCCACTTGTATCCTATTCTTTTCAATATTCCATTCATATCCTGAACTATTATATTTTGTGTCATTTGTATCCTGCCAATTTCGTTGACCGTTAAAGATAACAGTTGACCAAACGGCGGTCAACTTAACATTGACTTTTGCTGACGTGGCAGTGCCAAGTCATTGACACCTCACATTTTTAATTTATATTATATAAAACTTTGAAAATAAAAAATTGAAAATCCTTTAAATTCAAGAATATTACTAAATAATATTCTAAACCCCCAAATTCAAATAATAAAAAATCTCCATTGATTTCGTCGATTGTCCCTCTACTCTCTGCTTGGTGCTTTCCCGTCGATACTCCAATCGCTGAGCTTGAGGAGCGGAGGAGCTTCGCCATCCATGGGTTAGGATCTCTTCGGATCTGGAGGTTGTTGCGGTGGTAGAGGAGAGTTAGGAGGGCCGACGACGATGAACAATGAGTGGGGATGAAGCTTTGCGGCGATGAGATCTTGGAATCATGCCCCTGGTCTCTTCGAGAACGACGATTCCCCTCCCCAACCTTCGATTCCCCTCCCCACGACCTTCGGTTCCTCTCAGATTCACCGGGTAAAGGTAGCATTCAGGGACTTTGTACAGGACAAGCTCGACGCCATTGCTTCGCCACCGCGCCCGTGTTCCCAGTGACGGCGCTGAACTCCGCCAGCACCACCGTCCCCCTAGCAACCACCGCGTAGAGAATCGCCATTCTAGTCCTCTATCTCTCTCTCCTCTGAATCAAAACTTCCGCTCCCTTCGCGCGTCTTCGCTTTGAACTAATTCATAGGAGGTGGCACGGATTCCAGTTCCCAATTGGAAATTGGGATTTATAAGTTTTGTTTGTTGAATTGGAATCGGGATTAGGAATTTAAGCTTACAAATAATGGAGTACCGGCAGGCCAACAAAAGCTTACGGCCAGCGGGAAGGGGTTAAGGGAACAGAGCAGGACAGCGAAGCAATGTCACCGGCTAGTCGCCTAGTCCACCCTCAGGGTTAAAGGTACCTACAGATCTGGAAGAGAGAGGTGCCTGCAGAGAAGAGATCTTGTCTTGTGGCTGGAAACTGAGAGGCAGGCGGTTGGCGACTGGAACTCGACCCTCCAGCTTCCCTGCCGACAAGCAAGCAACCCGGAACCTACCTCATCCCCTCCTCTGCTCCACCATGGTTGCGCTGCAGATCTGGCCGGCGGGGGGAGAGCAATGAGGGAGATGAAGTTTTTTATTTTTATTGTTGGTGTTTTATAATTATGTTTTTGTAAGATTGTTTAATTTTATATTTGGCAAAAAAAAAGATTGTTTAATTTTATTGTTTTTTATTTTTATTTTTTTATTAAATGAATTAAAATTCCACGGCATGTGCCACATCAATGCTGACTGGACTTTCTGTTAAAAACTAACGGTCAAAACGAGTCAAATTTAACAGAAAAATAGTTCATGACATAAATGGAATATTGAATAAATCGGGATACAAGTGGCATTTTTGCGATAGTTCGGGTGTTGTAGTGGTATTAGCCCTAAAATAAATGCAAGAATTTCAATTATTAAGAAGAAATTTGATGTATTAGAAAAGAAGCAAAAATAAGTTAATCTGCATTCGTTACTAAACAACAAAACTAAACGGAATGATTACATTTACGCATGATGGGCCAACATCCAACTTTTTAAGTTGCTATTTGGTGTGTGCACTCGATCCCGAGGACAAGGGTTCGAAACTGGGCCACCACAATTTTTGTGATTGTCGTTTTTAGTTCAGAGACGGGGGAGGGTATTTTCATAACTTCCCAAAAACGCGGTGGCAAGGCCGCGTAAATAGTTAGAAACCCTAGGGGTAATTAAGTCATTTTAATGAGCAGGGTATATATTCATCTTTAGAAACCCTAAACCGGCCGAATGGCCGCCTCTGGTAAGCCTTCTTTGACATGCAAGTTTATTTTTAGTTCGATCCTGAGGTTTTCGTATTGGATTTTTATATTTTTCACTCTCCTTTTCGTGTTTTCGGCTTAGGAATTTGAAAAAGGCGAGGGCCAACTGTACCGTTGTTGAGGCAGCAACATTCACGCGACAAGAGACTCAATCCGGGACTCTTCTGTCCCTTCTCTCGGTAAGTTTGATCAAAGGGGTTTTGGTTAGATTTTTTGGCTAATTTCTTCGGGATCGAAATCTAACACTGCTGATTTGGTTGGAATGTAGGTTAGGGGAGATCTAGGTGATGTTCTCTCATCTCATGACTTTGTATGATTAAAAGGTAAAAATTGAAAGTGATATTTGGTTTTTAACGACTTTATGTTCTAATTAGCTAGGAATTAGTTTCTTAATCTGCTAGCTGAATTGGTGTTTTATGGTAATACCTGGTAAATCGTTTGTTTTGTTGATTTTTTTAAACTATAGAATTATTTTTAAGAAAGCCGAAAATCACAACCTCTGCTTGTGATTTCAGATTGAAAGAAAGGGTTTTGTTTTGCGTATGGGTTGGATCCTGAATGGGTCATAACACAATTAAAAGTCAAGGCAACTGCTCATGACAAAAATCTGAAGCTTTAGCTCTCACTTAATCTGAGTTGGTCTGCTATCTTAAGACTCTTTCATGGTTTACCAAACTAGAAATCATTATTTTGTGGTCTTTGTGCTAAACCTAATCTTTGACTAGACATATATGCCTGAAGCACGAGAAGTGTGTTTTTAGAAAGACCTTTGTGAGAGACTGTATTGAGTCTTTTTCACCGTTTTGTAACAGATTTGTTGTGGTTTAAAGATTACTTCTTTTTTGCAATGGTTGGAAATGATTCCTATGTTCGTGGCTATGTTAAGAAGGGATCAAACATGTGTTTTAAGCAAGATATGGTCTGGTTTTACATAAGATTTAGTATACCATCTAGACCAAGTGCTCAAAGGAAAACATGGCAACATAGTGAAGAAAACAAATTTGGTTTTGCTTGTAATTTTGCTTAGGCAGATCTTTTGATTAAAAATGTTGACACACAGTTATTTACAATCTATCTCTTTTACTATCCAAACAAAACAAACGGTATATCTAGGAGTGTTCAAATGATTACCGTGGTGATAACCAAACCAATTAAGCCTAAATTTCATTAGCCATGGAATAAAATGTCTTAACCAAACCATTCAAATTAACCAAACCAAAGTTTAATTGGTTTGGTTAATAGGATAACCAAATAACATAACATTACATGAAAATAATTTTCATGTTAATGAATAAAACATAACCATATGTTGTTACTATCATAAACTATCATTATATAAGCAATAATAATAAGAATAACAATCCATGTATATCATCATTCATCATCTCTGCACCTAATATAGTTAGCTTACCACAAATCCCTTAACATAAATAGTTAAATACATACCAATACCATTCATAGGAAGTTAAAGCTCTCCAACAAAACACTTAAACTATACATAGTTTGAGGTGGCTGTCATGGTATTGTACATAATCCTAAAGGCTAGTTAGGGGTGGTATTCGGTCGGTAGGCGGTAAACCGGTTACCGACTTTACCGGTTTTCGGTATACCGAGTGTGGGTAAGTGAGAGTCGTTTACCGATACCGGTTTACCGGTTACCGAATTACCGGTAAACGGTTACAAACCGGTTTTACTGACTTACTGTAAAGAGTAGTTGTGGACGGTTTTTCGGTTCGGTTTACCGGAAAATTACCGAACCGAATTTCTGGGCAATGGAGTGATGTTGTAATATTTTGATTTTATAAGTTTTTTCTTCATTTTTGTAATTAATAAATTATTATTAACTCTTATTTATAATATTTTTGAGGCCTATACTTACTTACTTTCATTCATGTATGTAATATTTGTGAATAATGAAGTATATGTTATTAGTAAATGCCTTAACTGGTCCGGTATCGGTATTACCGAATTACCGTCGGTATTTACCGATACTGGGGCCGGTAAACCGAGCTTCCCCATTTGACCATCGACTGCCGATACCGCCGGTAAACGGTTTGGTTCGGTAAAACGGTAAACTGTTTGCCGACTTACCGTTTGTCACCCCTAAGTCTAGTAGCTGTCCAAAATGTTTTGGTTTAGTAAATAGGCAAGCTCTTTTAATTTTTTACCCATATGTTTTGGTTTTGGAAATAAAATAGCGAATCACGAAAGTTTAGTTTGGTTGCATGGAAGCATAAATAATTATGTATATTAGGTGTATCAATAATTGGTTTCATTGGTTAGTAGTGTTTAAACCAAACCAAACCACCTAAACCAAATAAGCTAAATTATTTAACCAAACCAAACCAATTAACCATACCAAATTAACCGAATGCTACCAGTTAATATGGTTACCACGGTAACCAATCCGTTTGAACACCCCTAGGTATATCTTGCAAACTGCATGTACTTTTTGAACCATGTTAACAAAATATGATGTTTCGTTCTTTGTGAAATATTAAGTAAAGCGTTAAGTAGGCAGAAGTTGTTGCACAAAAGCTTCGTTCAACAAATTGCATAGAAATCTAATCTTACATGAGCTACAAAGAGTAAAAATCACATGCATATGCTTTATACCAGTGAGTTTCATGATGGATTGAATGATTGTTCAAGCAAGTGTATGTTATAGATCTAGGAAGTATGTTACTATATTTCGGTTGGAGAAAAACCAACCTGGTTTCTGTTGTTTGATGGCAATAGATCCTAGTTGTCTGCTTTCCTGGTTCCTTCTCTTGAGAATTCAGATTTGCTGCCTTCTTTTCCGTCTCTCCTTCCCCAAAATTGAAACTCCAATCACTCTGTTTCTTTCCTAAGAGATGGTCGAAAAATCTCCCCCAATCAGACCTCCGTTCTTTTTTTTTTCACTCCCCCTTTCTCTCTAGTTGTAAAAGTGATTTTATACCAAGTTTGTACGGTTCATATGTGTGTGCTGGTAATGTTTGGTTGGTTTCTTTAGGTGGTGGTTGTCCTGCCTACTTCTCTAGGACGGTGGCAATTTCTGCTGCCCCTTGGGAATGTATATGGACAAAAAGGGCTTGTTGACTAGGTTGACCAAGATGACTTGAAATGGATAAGAATTTATGGTCCCGAATTGGGTTCAAGTTCTGAATTTGTGGCTTAATTTTGATTATTCCCTTCTTGCTTTTGCAGGTTCAAGTTTTGGACCCAAAGTGATATTTGGAGGCCCAATTACTTTGTTTGCTTCTTTGGTCTATGTAACCATTATGTAAATATTTGTGCAAGAGCTAATGTAATATTAATCTTGTCATTTATTATTGTAGTTGTATCTACGTTTGACATTTATATACATGTGTTCATTATTCAATTCGTGTTCATTATTCAATTCGTGTTCTTCTAGGATCAAAATCGAATCCTAATCCAAACTTGAAGCAACCTTTTTGAGTCCAGTTCCGGACGTCCACTTTATATGTCACTCTAGCTGAAAATTAGCAAAAAACAATCTCGGTGGCATTTGATGTTCAAGATTTGCTACTGCTAATCTTAACAATTCCAATCTTAATAGCCACACATGAACAACTCGGTGATTACTAGTGTTTATTGAGTGAACTTGGAATTAATTGGTAATTATTGACTTGCCGCTGCAATCTTAACCAATTCCATCCAAACTTCACCTTTGATTTTTCTTTTGAGTTTTAAGTAGAGTGGTTATCCCGGACAAAATGTGGTGTCTACACTAAGTACCAAAGTACAAAGCACAAGCCCCCTTCTACGCTTAAAAAGAGCAAAGCGCCATGACAAGATCGTCTTCATATGAAAATGGGTTTGTTCAAAAAGACTTTTCCTGGGCTGGAATACAAATACATCCTAATTAAGCTACCTACGTTTTCGCCCCAACCTTCGTATAAGAAGACTCAAGTAAGAAAAGACAATTCCATCTCGTGAGAATCGAATCATTTCATCCTTATGAAGTATATTTCTAGCATCATTGTGAGGATCAAAAGTTTCTAAGTTCAAGGATTGACCTTGTAAGCTTCTTATGATCCACTACTTAAGATCGTAAACTATGCGTCATCATAGAGGTTTGGTGATAGAGAGCATGTTGAGTTTAGGCTTGTTTGGGGACAAAAAAAGTTCAAGCGTGAGGTTATTTGATGACACATAAAATGAGCTATTATAGGGCGCTGTATTATGTCCTAAAGTGCATTAATTTCATATCATTATCGTCATAATACCTTGGATTTGTGCTATGAATGCTTCAAGTGTGTTTTAGCAACCCTATTATTACTTTTGTGGGTTTGATGCGCTTTTGGTAGCTTTTGTGCAATTTTAGGTCAAAGCAGGCTAGTGGACTACTTGGCAGTAGTAAGGGACATCGAGATCTAGTTCGTGGAGTAGAAAATTGAAGAGAGGATCTACTTAAAGACCGCCGCCCAAACAGCACCCTAGGAAGGAAAATGGCGCCATTGTCGCCGATTTACGGAGCTCATCTACTTCATTAAAAACTTACCTTGGGGCTTCTTGATTCTATGGGCCATGTTTGTGGAGGCATTTGATTGACTATATGGAGCAGTAGCTGCGAGTTTTCCTCCCCAAAACCGCAATCGAAGACCTATAAATGGAGCTCTAGAGGTAGAATGCGTGAGAAGGAGCCAAGAGGTCAATGGAGGGTCGTTACTCTGTCGATAGAGCAACTCACCTGAATTAGAATGAAACTAACCTCGAGGGAGGAATCGGTGCTAGAAATGATGGCCCTAGCCGTGTTTTCTCTGTTGGTGGCGCTGATTCTAGCGGTGTTCTGAAGACTTCATTTCAATTAATGATTGCCAAGAAATCCTATTCGTTGGTTGGCTAGTTCTTTAGTTGCATAGGTATGTGAACCCAAGAGTAACTAGTCATGTAAAACTTAATGTTTGGCCTAAATACGATTCTTTTATTTCATATGTGTTGATGCTTGATTTCCTCTATTTCGTGATTTGTTTGTCGATTCAAATAATTTCTTAGCCGACCTCGAACTTCTTCGAGGTGCATGATCGATTCAATCTGTGTAAGTCATTGTCAATAGTTAGCACGTCTCAATAAGTACCTCATCCTAGGCCAAGTTTAACCTAGAATGGCGTATTCATATAGTGGCAATCAAGGTCGTCTTCACTCGGGTCTCATACACTAGCCTACTTCCCACGTTGTTATAATCTAGCCGATCGGTTTAAGGGTTTGTGATGGAGGATTCAAGCAAAATAGCTAGTAGAGAGAACAAATAAGAATAAAAGCAGGTATTTTGGGGAACTATCCCTCACCCTAGCCTAGGTCTACTATGCAATTCAATATAAATAGGGTTTGGCAAATGTGGTGAGTGAGCTCTTTTCTGTGGGCTTTTATGGTTACCTACACGCCTTCGAGTACGGCTCCCCTAAACCCATGTCAGTCACCTCGATCTAGGCTATCATATTTGGGGCATTAAGAACATAGCTCATTTCAATTGGTACTACCCACCATCCACACCGAGGTTTTATCTCGGGTTTTATCTAGAAAGGCATTCCTATGCCAGAGATACGGCCACCTCATCCACCATAGAATCCTATTTATACATCGCACAGTCGAAGATGGCGAGCATACATCACTGGAACGTGACGAGGGTGTTGCAAAGCCCGAAAGAATCTACCGGTAGGAAAATGTGCCGAAAGGATAGGTGAAGGTTCTTCGCCTCGTCTTCTGGTGTTGTGGGAATCAGAAAATACCCAGACATCCCATCCAGGAAACAATAAAACTCGTGCCCCGCCAACCTCTCAAGCATCTGGTCAATGAATGACAGAGGGAAGTGATCCTCTCTTGTGGCGTCTTTGAGGCGGTGATAGTCGATGCAGACACGATACCCAGTCACCATTCTCATCGAGATGAGCTCATTCTTCTCATTTGGGACCACAGTCATGCCGCCCTTCTTAGGCACCACTTGAGTGGGACTGACCCACTCGGTGCCGGAAATGGCAAAAATGATTTCCGCGTCCATCAATTTAATAATCTCTGCTCTGACCACGACCTTCAGATTTGGTGTCGATCTCCTCTGGGGCTGTCTCACCGGTCGAATCTAAACCTCCGTTTGGATCCGGTGGGACAGAAAGAATGGCTAATGTTTTGTGTTTATCGGGCTTACTATGTGTGTGCTTGGAGCCTAGTCCATTGTCCAAATACCAAATTTCGATTTGAGGGATTCAATTACGTGTTCCTTGCAATCGCCTACTTAGTATACTTTGAATTGACAGTCTTAATGGTACCATGCAACCTAGGGAAGTAGTTGTAGCACTATGGATGATGTTGAATCCTTCCTATCTTTCTCTTTATTGTGCCGGTTGATTGTGTGAACTCGTGGTTTTAGGACATTTGATTCATGTGGTATCTATGACTTCCCTTATGTTGTGTGTTGGGCTGGAAGTTTGGTACTGGTATTTGGTATATATCGAATATCGTACTGAATTTGTCTATATTTGGTATTACCGAATACACGTATTATTTCTTGGGATTGAGATTGAGATTCAATTTCAATTGCTATTCGGTATTAGGGATTATGAGATTGGGATTGGTATATACCAAAATACCGAACAATACCAAAATATAATCTAGTGTGTATTTTATCCTCTCAACTAGTCTCTATCATTCACTACTACACGACCGTCAACCACCAATCTCTTGTTATTTTTATAACACCAAAAAGCAAACACTAGTATTAGTCTTCTCTCAGCCTCCAATTCGTCAAATTAAAGATTGCCAATGACAAAAACTTGAGATGTCACCGCTCCTCCATTCTCCTTATCCCTATCCTAGAACTAGCCAAACTCAAGACTCTTTGCTTAGTCTCTATGTCCTATATTAAACAATCAAATCTAATTTATATATTTAATTAATAATTGCAAATGTAATTAATTTGATATGCAATAATACCAATTGGGATACCGAAATATTTAGGGATTGAGATTGGGATACTGAAATTATATAGAGATTGATTGTGATTGATTTTAGGGGGTAATTTGGTATTCGAGATTACGATATTTGGTATTGGGATACCGATATCGTACTGATTTCCACCCCTAGCTGTGTGTGTGGACTCATGTATCATAGAAGGGTGCTCAATGTGTGTAAGAAAAGGCAGTTAGTCCTCCATATCGAAAATTTGAAATTTTAAACATGGGGTAAGCCCAACGTGTGTGCCACCATTCATTGCACAAAATCGGGTTTTGGAAGAGATTTTAGTGATCCTTAGTGGGCGAGTCCTACAAGGTGAAGCTAATTTTTCCCTAGTACAAGTAAAAATTCCACCTGTTGAACGGTTTGCCTACTCGAGGATGTGTTTTTAAGGGCACGGATAGAGCTTCCGAACCCCCTTAATTTCATTGACCCTCCACACGAATTGAGGAAAAAGAGTTAAACGAAGTACTCCGGCGAGCGCCAGATGTACAGAAATTGCTCGTGCTCAACTAATAAGGATCGACCGCGCATAAAAACTGCATTTGGTACCCCAACAAAGTGTCGAAAGCAAAAAAAAAACATAAGGAAAAAGGGTTCCAATGAAGGAAATGGAATGGAAAGAGCACCCGATACGAAGAGTCCTTAGTTGTTGTGTTGTGTGAGTCTCTTTATCCATGAATTGTCTTAGAAGACTGGTTGACCTCGTAAGCTGCTAATGATCCTGGCTTGAGTCTGGTACTCGCATTGAGAGAAATAGGGAATGTCTTAGAAGACTGGTTAACCTCGTAAGCTGCTAAATGATCTAGGAAGTCCTCTATCAACTATCAAGGCTGCATGTTGCTGTAGAGGTATGGAGAGTTGCATTGGTTTGAGCCAGGTTTGCTTTGGGAGACGCAAACGGCTAGGTGTGGGGGGATTTGATGCCTCGATATTTGCACATATTTTTGTCCACCATTCTTATATAGTGTGAGGCTCATTTCTCGTGTTTTAAATAGACTTCACACTAGGTTATTCTTGTTAGTGATATTTAAGGTCCTAGTACGTGAATGAAGGTTGGGCACGATATTGGGGTCGATTGGACGAAGTTAGGACGTGTGACGAAAAGCTGAGGAAGATAAGCGGCATGCTCATAAATCCACACAACCCTGTGTTCTGGCCGTACGCCTGGGGCCACGCATCTTGGGTCGTACTGGTTGTGCAAGGGCACCCATTGGCCGTGTGGGGTTTCCAGGTAGTTACACGGGCAAAGCTGCATTCCACACGGCCGTACATCCTGGCGGTGTGTCGACAACGAGCAACTAATCCGTACGTTGCGTTTTGGGAGTTACACGGGCAGACACGGGATTCTACACGACATTATGCTGGCTGTGTAATCGGGCAAATCTGAGTTTTAACCCAATTTAATGTTTATGAAGATGGGATCCAAGTTTTAAAGTGGAAAACAGAGAGTTAGAAAGAGAAAGTGATAAACCCATCCTCCAAGGTGACCGAGATCGAGTTTTGACACCATTAGAGCTTGATTGAATCCTAGAGAAGCACTGATTGACAACCAGAAGCTGAATTCCATCCTCTACATGATGATTTCTACATCTGGAGCTGATTTCCTCTCTCTCTGGAGTAAACTCCCTCTCTCACTTGGGTATGAAGAACCCTAGAGTTGTATTATAGGTTTGATTGTATGAATCCAAGTACATGATATTTTGATACTGATTATATTCAATTGAGGCATGATTTCAGAATTGCATGAGTCCTGATCACATTCTTGTAGTATCTGTTTTGACCTAGAAAGAGAATATTTACATAGGTTGATAGAGCACCCTTGATTGAAGGTGGTGAATTGACTAAGTTAGTCGAGAAGTCAGTTCACTACTCTATATTGGAATTGATCCAGTAGAGGAGGTTTTGCATGTTAGTGCCTCAATTTGTTTATTCCGGTGGAGATTAGTCGTCTGTAGGGTATTTAGACTAGGAGGGTCTGAAGACCTTTAGTCGAGACTTCAGACTGAATAAGAACCTTTTGCAGTATAACTATCATTATATTTGGACTTGTTGAATTACAAGTTGGCTTAACTGCAATCTAGGGGGAACCATATCCAGGTGACCTCTGTCAAACTTGAATCACAACTTTACTGCTTTGTGTTTGCTTAGATTAAATACAGCTTCACTATGTTCAAACTGCTGAATAACGAGAACTTCATGGAGTAGTCATCACATCTAGGACCCGAGCTAACAAATAAAGCTAAACCCGCTATACTAAACATTAGTTTGTGGTTATACTTGGCCACTTTCTTGTATGACGGTATTGGCAAGTCACCTAGCAATGGAGTAGCACCCCTTTTCACTTGGGTATTGTAAACCCTAGTTTTAGAGATGTGATAGGTTGCATGGATTGAATGCTATGTGTGGGTTTGTGTTTAATGAAAATTTTGAGGTATTTTCAGAATTCTTGAGTTGTGTTCTTCATTTCTCATAATTAAGTCAAATTGACCTAGTCACCACCTTTGTGAGTACAAGCTCTCAAAATTTCGAGAAGATTGAGCAATTCATGGAAGTTGCAACAAACCAGTTCATTTCTGTTGATGCATGCCCAAGAATTCATCAAGCGAGCCTTCAAATCTTGGAGACCCAAATCGGCAACCTTGCTGGAGTCCTCAACAAAAGGCTCAGAGGAGCCTTACCTTCCCAAACCATTGCCAACCCCAAGGATCAAAATGTTGAGGTAAATGCTATCCTTTTGAGAAGCGGGAAGGTAACTCCCGATGTTGTGACTAAGTAGATAATTGAAGAAGAGGAAGTCCCTCCAAAGATCAATGAACAAGAACTCTCGGAAGGAGAGGATGAAGAGGCTAAGAAGGCACCGCCGACGCCACCTCTAGTGGTTGAGTACAAGCCTTCACTCTCTTTCCCTACAAGGGTGCACAAAGACCGTTTGGAGCGGAGTGTGGCAAGTTTGTGGAGATGCTCAAAAAGCTCAATGTCGCAATTCCCATCTTGGAGGCAATGGCATATATGTCGAGGTATGCAAAGTTTCTCAAGGGGCTTCTTGTAAAGAAGCAGAAGTGTGAAGACTTCGCCGCAGTCACTTTGGGAGGGGAGCGCTCGGCCTTTAGTCAAAATAAGTTGCCCATAAAGCAACAAGATCTAGGTAGATTCACTGTCCCACTTTGCATTGGAACATGTCATATAGAGAAATCCTTGGTAGATTAGGAGCAAATATAAATGTCATGCCATATGAGCTTTACAAGAAACTAGGCCTAGGTGAATTGAAACCCACTATGTTGAGTCCTAGAGGCATTTTGGAGGATGTCCTAGTATGGGTGGGCACTTTATATTATCCAAAGGATTTCATTATCCTTGACTATAACAAAGGTGTGAATATGTCCCTTATCCTCGGACGGCCCTTCCTTGCCACCGCCAAGGCTCTAATCGATGTTAATGTGGTCACATTAATCTTGAGAGATGGTGAGGAGTAAATGAATTTTTCAATTTATCTTAAGGTTAAGCATGAGGATGCCAAAGGAATAGAGTCGAATGGTGTGTTTGTGAGTGGAGGTGAGCCTATCAAGGAAAACCCCACTATTGCTCCTTCTTCTTGTGATTATTGGAAGCAGGGACCTAAGGCGGGTACTAAGTTCGAAAGGAAGCAAATGAAGGCATGCCAGGAGAAAATGAACCATGTTCGACCCCAAAAAAAGGACAAGAGCAAGGAAAAGGTGTAGGGCCAAGAGGGCCACCCTTCCAAGCTAGAGATTGGAGCTGATGAACCTCGCCCCAAGAGTTTGTGAGATCCACTCTCGAAGGCTTCGTGCTTGCAAGCATGATGATCTGAACCGTCTAGATAAGGACGTAAAACAAGCTCTTGTTGGGAGGTAACCCAACGCCTGTTCGTATTTCTTTTCCTTATATTTCTCTTTTTGTTTGAGTTGAGTGGTGAGTTTGGGATGTTCACCATGCCACGCTTGTATGTTTGATTGAGTCGTGATTGAGTTTGAAGAACGGTTTAATCGATTGAGTCTTGAGAATTGTGGATTTGCCTAGTTTTTATGTTTGTCACGGTTTTAGGCATATTATCACAGTCATCAGACTGTGATAATGTGTTGGAGGTCATAGTATTTTATGGCATTTCCACAGTTTACAGACGTAATGACCAAAGTGAAATTGTCACGGGCATGTGCCTGTGACCAACCATGATGTCCACCCAAAAATCACTATTTTTGTTCAATGTCACACTCTCACTGTTATTGTCACGGTCTGCGGACCAACCGTGACAATTGACCCAGCGCGTGACCTTGGACCTCGAGCTATATAAGTCGATCGTGACCCCTTCTTCACAAATTGATTTCGCCGGAATCCTCTGAATCTCTCGCTGGAAAACATCGCCCCAGACGGTTTTATCCATTTCGGGTGAGTCAATCCCAAAACCAAACACATAACCAGACTCCCCAAGCCAAGGCTCACATTCAATGAGATTTTGGTGGATTTGTCTACTATTTGTCGCCGGAAAATTGCCCCACGAGACTCCGGCAACCTCCTCCGGCCAGGTTTTCGGTAGATTTTCGACTCCTACCCCTTCTCCTCCCCTTCCTTACT